GTTTAAATGTTCTCCCCGTGTCTGTGTGGGTTCTCTCCGGGTGCTTCCTCCCACTGTCCAAAGACATGCAGGCTAGGTTAATTGGTGACCCTAAATTGTCCTTAGGTGTGAGTGGTTGTCTGTCACTGTGTGGCCCTCCAATGGACTGGTGACCTGTCCAGGGTGTACCTGCCTTTCGCCCGTTGTAAGCCCCTGTACGCAGGATAAGCGGTTGACGATGGATGGATGGATTTTATACTGACTCTTCATGTAGGTCTTCATTTCACTGTCTGAAACAAGTTGTAGATGCTCCTGTCTCTTTAAGCCCCCCCCCCTCTCAAAGCCCACTGTCTTCTGATTGGCCTGAAGAACGTTACCAGGCTGACAGACTGAGGGCCCGTGTCCACCAAAGCGTTTTTTCTTGAGGCCAGCGTCTTTTCAATGGGAGCACCGCGTTGGTAAAATGGCCGTTTTTTCTGGTCGCTGAGAGTTGAGAAAGGTTCAACTTTGGGAAAAACTCAGCGCTCGTCACTGTCACTTTTTACCCAGCCATCCAATCACAGTGCAGGAGGGGCGGGACAAACACTACTCCGAGCTATCTCAGTTCTTGTCCCTCTTCGCCGAGTTATTTCCTCGCCTGCAAAAACTCATGGACCCACGTACGGCGAGTCCGTCCCCTCGCTCTACATGTTTCAGCCTTCTCTTCATGCAATCAAGGCCAGAGCAAGTAGGCCTTGGCCTACCGTCAGCTACTTAGTGGTGACATTTTTACATTCAGTAAAATTAGGTGCAGCTACTACTACTTGCAGCACATCACCTAACGGATTTTATGTATCATAGCGATCAAAGGGTCTCGAAAAAAACGCTGCTCCACCAAAGTGCACCCTAGCTCTCCCAGCTAGGCGTTTTCAGAACAGTAGCTGGCGTTTTCAGCTGGTAAAAAACGTTTTGGTGGACACGGGCCCTGAGCGTTGCCATGCCGTTGCTGTGGGAGCAAATGACCATATATGGAATACTGACTTCGTTTCCGCAAACAGGGATTTCTTTTAAATACTTTAACCTCATTATTTGAGGCTTTGGGCATGTTTAACATGAACATCCAACATTGTGACGTTGTACATAAATCATAAAATAAGGAAAAGCATAATAGGTCTCCTTTCAGGCTAGCGATGGTGCAGTCACAGCTAGCTTTAGCTAAAGCTATGTTCTATACTTTTGCCAAACTGTTTCCTGCTATTGACTTATTAATATTGATGCTCCAATATAGTTGAGTTTGTCGCACCACATAAATAAGGCAATCCATTAATAATGCGTACATGGGCCTACATATAACAACAATATGCAGAACGTGTGTTAATATGTCGTCCTTTTATGAACCCTGTCCGTTTGTTAAGGAAAACATAACTGGAGGGGGAACTCAATCTATGTTCTCATGCCACCAGATTCCTTTGACAAAAACAGTTATTTTACCTTGCACAACACTCTTAGTTTGATCCAAACTAATCCTTTAAAACACCAAAGTCACACAATAATATAAACAAACTAATCCATCCAGGCAGCAGTAGACCACCAGCCCCATGTTCTGCGAGGTAAAATTACTATTTACTTCAAAAGGAGTCTGGTGGCTTTGAAGACAGCATAGGTGGAATGGTCATGTCAATTTAAATATGTTCTTAATGTGCAAGGATTTTTTAAAGAAAACATTCTGGGAGAGGGCTCTCATTTGGACCCCCAGTGTCTATATACCATGGTTACGCTCTTGGGCATGTGAGCAGCCTATTGTATCAAGATGCATTTGAAAAAAGCTCTGCACTCATCCTTTAATTTCTCTGGAAGGGAGGAGTCCATGTCAGCCCTCACTCTGTGTGTGTGTTTGCATACCAGTACATTTCTCCAGTAACAACTCGTGTCAACGCGCTGCAGAAACTTGCAGAGGGCTGTCTATCCAAACATTAACAAAATGACACTGAGATGTCTTTCATTCCTCTGCGCACATCGCTGGCCCGTTTGGAATGGCTTCCAGCTGCGGTTACAGACCACAACATGTCCGTTTCAGCGCTCCTTGTAACGAGTGGCGCACAGGAAACAAGTGGCTCTACCCACGAGGATGGGGAAAGAGGTGTGTCTGAGGCGAAGAAAGACAAGAGATCCCGATTCCAACAAATCCATCAAGTCCATCAGACCACTTATAGCCTACTAACACGCAAACAGCGCGTTAAGCCCTATTGTTTTCATTTGGTTTGTAGAAGCGCTCAGGGTGAAAAGGCTTTTCATGCACCTACTGTGGATCAGAGCCTGTCCACTGACCCCGGGCGGATTACTAAAGAGCCCATATGTGTCCGATAAGCAGCCTGGTTCACTGCTCGGCCTGTGTAACAGCGGAGCCGCTCTCTCTGTGCTGCTGATGAAAAATGGGCTTGGCATTTGCGCACAGGCGCCGCATCAGTCCGATTCCCTATAGTCTCTGCTCTCTAAATAATGCAAGAATATGAATATACAGTAGAGACGCATGTAAATAGATGCAACCCACCAGGGGCTTGTTTCTGCTTTAGATGCAGGATTTCAAGTTGCAGAATGAAATGAGCTCATCTGTGGTGCACGTACTGATACGCTAGAAACCATTTAGGCCTCCAGAGGCAAGAAAGAAGCGAAAGATCCAGAATAACGGGAGAGAAAAAAAAAAACAACAACGCGAAGAGTCCGCACAGCCACAAATTCACACTCACACGCTCACATTAGGCGACACGATGAAAATAACACTGCTTAACTTGAGTAAATAGAGAGAAATAGCATTGTTTTATTGTCCTCCTGGGTTCCTTTATTAATGAGATTATAAATATTCTGGCGGATTAGTCTTGTTACCGCGCGCAAAGGCTATCTCCGTGTGGCTGAAGCGAAAGCAGAACCTGCTCCGGAGGATGATGGAGACATTTTTTTTTTTCGCTGGGAACGAGGAGAAAACACGCAAAATGCCGTGTTTGTGGGGAGGTGACTGTTTCCTCCAGTGCTGGGGCGATGGTGGCAGCAACAAAAACACGTTTTTTTCCCCCCCCTCAGTTTATTGTAGACGAGGATCGAAGAAGATGCAAATCGCGCACAATGAAAGTCTGATTTGAAAACAACGAAACGTGCAAAATAAACCTCTGCGGGAGGATCTATGCTGACACGATGCAAGAAATATGTATCTCATTCATGTGCATGATATTTCTACACAGAGGAGGCCCAACCTCTCCCACCTCATGCAAAAAATATTAAGTGACAATGTGAATGCCGATGGAGAAATACGACGCAGCGTTTGGCTCGCATGTCGGCCGCTCGCTGTGGTGTTTCGGTGTGAAAACAATGAGATTGGATCGGCCAAATAAATGAAATATGATGGGTTTTTTCTTACCTGAGTGCAGACAGCGGTGTTGTCTCTTCAGCGGCGGTCGCTCACCGGGTTGACACAGCTTCTCTTCGCAGTGCAGTGGCAGGCCGGAGCGGGGCGCTGCGGAGCGGAGCGGCGACTGTCTGTCCTGAAATGCAACCTGTCTGCTCACAACAGCGCTCAGCCCATCTGGTTCCATGCAAGCTGTAAACAAAGAGGTAGGAATAAAAGGCTTTGCATAGACAAGGTTTATTTTATTGTTTCTATAAACTGTAAACACTTAAAATATCAAAAGGCTCTCAGAAGGCCACACATGCGGATGGATCATAGCTCCATGTTTTAAACCTTCCACTCAGATGTTTGACTCAAGCAAAAGCTGCAGTACTACCGTGAAGAAATACTTAAAGTTAAAGTTAAAGTAAAAATACTGCATTAAAATTTAAGTACAAAAGTATTAAACATCAAAATATAAAGTACTCAAACTACTGATTTACAGAATGGCCCATTTCCAGTGGTGGAATGTAACTATTTACTCAAGTACTTTAAGGCCTATAGTTTTGAGGTACTTTACTTGAGTATTTCTATTTTATCCTACTTTATAGGACTACATCTCTACAATTCAGAAGGAAATATTGGAACTATTTGCTCCACTACATTTGTTTGACAGCTTTAGTTACTTTCCAGATTCAGAATAATAGAAAATATAACTAATGTAACAAGAATCATCTGATAAATGATGTGTTATTACAGATTAAGATACTCAGCAGTATATCAAGTAGTTAAATTAGCTCCACCTTTACCAGCTGCAATATTAGTGATGCCTACATATGAATGTATGAATGCTTCACTAATTATTATTCAATTATATAATATAAATTATATAAATAATCTTTTTTCAAATATCATTTTTTTGTGTGCAAAATGAAATACATCTGGAATATTTGTTGATGTGTTATCTTACTTGTCGAAGCCACCAGACTTCATTGATAAAAATGGTAATCTTACCTCAGAAAACAGGAGTTGCTGGTCCATCGCTGCCTCAGTCAGCCAGTTTGTTTGTCTTATTGTGGGATTTTGGTGTTTTAAGGGGTTAAAAACACCACAGACACAAAAACATGAGGAAATAGAGTCCAGGTGGAAAAATACTGAAGCCCTTCAACAAAACGCTGAAAATTAAGCCCTTTTAATGCTACTTCAAAATAGGAGAACTTAAATGTTGGTGATACAAAATTTAATAAATGTGCTTCATTTAGAAATTAACGTATGTCAAGAAATAAAAAAATATGTTCCTTCAAACTGTGTTGTGTCATCAAGCCACATGTGACTTAATGTAAACCTAAATGGTTCTAATTTTAATTTGTATTATTTACACATAGATGGTCATTTTAAAACAAATGTCCAGTTATGTGAGTTAACTGTTTTTATTTATTTTAATATTTAATTCATATATTTTTACATTTATTTTGTTTAATGAATGTATTTTTTGTATATGAATACAGTCAGTATCTTTCTGTATCTGAATATATCTGAATAATTAAGCCCTCTGACATGATGGATCAGTTGTTATAAACTCATGCTGTGCAGCCAAACTCTGTTCAAACCCACAAAATGTTATCTTAAATTCTAGTTGAGACCCCAAAGTTTGAAAAGATACCAAACACAGCTTTCATGCATTCGCAGGTGCAGCCATAAAAACATTCAGTCTTGTGTTTATATATTTCCTTCATCATAAAGCTTAAAAAAAAAAAAAAAAAAAAAGAGCGAAATAAAATGGATTTTAACAATCCTAAAGCTTCTAAAGGGGAAATAAAAGGGATACATATGTATTAAGGGGTTATAAGGTACTGTATTTGATTTAAAAACATGCTTTATGTATGGGAAATCCAGACTGAACAGAAGCTACAGTAACAGACCAGTATGGTCGGCACACAAAGGTCAAGTCTTGGCACATAAAACAGGGGAGGCCTGAGGGACTAAACAGTGCGCCCTTGTGTCACTCCTCTTTCACTGGCCTCCCTGTGGCCTCTCACTATCACACACCGAGTGCCAACTTTTACACTAAGTTGTGAAACCATTCAGCGCCTGAAAAAACAGCAGTGGAATTACTGATGGTCAGATCTGTTTGGGAATGCCTTCCTTCTCTCTCCTCCTCCCTTTCTTTCTTTCCTTCCTTCCTTCTTTCTACTCCCCCTCTCTCTCCTTTTGGAAACCTGCCCAGTACAACAGCTGCGTGGCTGAAGATGATTGGATTTATCCTGTGGTGGGAGTTCACTGTGGGCCAGGTGCTGCTGTGGGATCCGTCTCAGGCTGAAAATCTCTCTTAACACACCCTTTAAATCCTCAGCAGTCTGTTCACCTGGACGAACCACTTCACTGGCTGCAGGACATTTCAGCCTTTCCACGCGCATTACAGGAGCTCAGTGGAGTTTAATAAGGTTTAAAGTTGTGATGGGCAGGTTTTTTATGTTGCTCTTATAGCTGAGAGTTAGAGGAGAAGATCCATATGTCTCATGTCTATATGATAAATATGAAACTACATTCGGTTAGCTCAGCATAAAGACTGGAACAGCTGATCTGGCTCTGTGCAAAGGTAACAAAATCCACCTACCAGCCCCTCTAAAGCTCCTAATTTTGTGATATGTACTACTTATTGAGTTTGCATTGTGTTTAAACCACACCTGCCACTACAGAGTATTGATGTGTACATGTTTATGGCTGTGGTAACCCTTCTGACTGAAATCGAAGCTTGTGTACCTAAATAAATTAGTGGTTTGGAGTCAGAGTGCAGACGATATTGTTTTCCAACAGTCTTGCAGTCACATGTGATGTGCTTCTCTCTGACAGGACACAAATAAATTAATATAGATAGACCTTCAACTGATACTGCAAAATGAAAAAAATAAAACATTTGACACAGCACAGAATACAACATATTAATCGAGATATAAAAAGTCTATCTTGCCTTCCTTTCCAAGACAAAGATGCCCACTTAGAAACATCATTAAACAATACTCTGAAAACATAAGTTTGTCAAAACGTTTCCCAAAAGTTAAAAAGCTTAAGTCACTGTAAATGAGGTGCTGAAGAACCACTTAACCTGAGCTCAACCTTAAACATCTGCAGCAGTAAAATGCAACATGCACATTAATGCAGCAGCAATATTAATCCAGAAACATCAGATATGATAGTGAAACACTTACAAGAGGGAACATTTTACTGTCACACTCTAAGTACATTTCGCAAGTAAAGGATGTGAATACTTCTTCCACCACTGCTGACATGTGCTGAGTTTATGCACACTAACGTACATGCAGTCACGGTTTTTCTTTTTGTACTATTGAGTTAAATGTGGTATAACCAGTTCATCATCAACTACCCTAATAATCACCACAGACGCATGTGTGAGAATGGGTGTAATTAGACGTGAAGAGGCCCCTTTGAGTCTGTAAATGATCATAGTGCCCAGATTTTAGTAATCGCATGATAGCAATTTTGATATATCTGTTATTTTAAGGAGCATTTAAACACCAATCAACCTTATTTTACACATTAGATTTCTCTATATGAAGGTTATTTTTCTTCATCTTAAGGTTTAAACATATCAGTGTTTGTACAGGTGAAATAAATTCAAGCGCAGTAGGCTTGCTGCTGTAACACAAGCTGATCTATGAAGCAGCTCAAGTCAAAAGACCAATCAGTGGCTAAAGTATTTGGGAGCTGACTGTGACAATAGATTCAGATCTGTGTTGGCTGTACAAAGCATTTCACATCTTAGATATTAGTTATTAAGTCTCCAGGCGGCTCTTTCAAAATACATAAAGACTAACTGATGAAGCCCTGAAACAAAACTGACCATGTCTGCCTGAGACAAGGATCCTGCAAGAAACAGGCTCCTGGAGAATAAGGAGAATAATGTTTTGAATCCATCTGGATGGTAAGCAGCAAAGGGCAGCAAGGATTGGTGTGTGTATTCAAAGCTTGATATATCTTATTCCTCTGTGCCGTAGAGCGCCATTGTTGTCTAAAAACGATTAAAACACTGGACTGGAGATAGGGTATGAAAAATGGTATTACTAGTAACAATATACAAAAAAGTACAATATTTGCAGAAGAAGAGTATAAAGAAGAAGTATAAAGTTTCATAAAATGGAAATACTCATACAAAACACAAGTATTTTGAATTAGTACTTAAGTAAATGTACTTGGTTACGTTCCACAAATGCAGGCAAACAAACTGGCTGCAGAACAAGGAATCAAACACTAGAGAGAGACATTGCAGCATTCAGCAGAGCTTCCTCTGCCTCGGACAGCCTCACTGCTGCATGAAATCCTATTTTCTTTTAATATTTGCAATATAAAGCTTCCACAACATATCAGTACTAAGGCCAGTCTCTATATATTGTTTCATGCACACTGTAAAATTGTAAAAACTGTTTGCATGATGTTTAAACAGGCCAAGTACGAAGATTAGATGATTGTCAAAAGAATTTAAATTTATCATAGTAGAAGGAAGTTTGGCCTCATCAAAAGAGATTATTTCTTTTTGAGAGAAGAAAGACTCACAGTGAAATCATCCGTATGCCCGCCACACATCCTGTGGTGCTACAGGTTTTCTCCTTTTTCACAGCATGTGTTGTTTTTTGGTTTAATATTTAATGATAACTCCTGACGTGGGAGGATGTGCCTTTATTTAAACTATAAACCATAAAAAGAAAACTCCACCTAATGCACATGTGGAACTCTCAGCCGACGACGTGTTTTGGTCTTCAGGACTCCACAATAATAATAAATTATGCAGTGAATTGAAGGCACCTTGTTTTTCGTTTTACCTCCAACTGTTAGTATGAAGCTGCTCAGGTGACGTCATCACAGGTCCAGTCATCTCGTCCTTCAAAATGCTTCACATCAGTCCAGCTGCACGGAGGAAGCAGCTTCAAATCCTGAAGGGGAAAATATTTATCAGATATTTAACAAAAATACTACGTTTGAAAACCAAATCTTAAAGCACAGATTGTTTTTTTAATGCGAGAACAACAACAGACCTGCTTTTTAATGCAGAGACAGATTTTGTTCCCACCAACCTCTGATAAAACAACCAAAAAGCGACTGTACATTTAACAAGTTTCTGCTTTTTAATGAGTGAAACATGATCTTCAGACTGACTGCTGCTGTTTCCGTCCTGATCATCACAAGCCACATGGTGAGTTGTCAACTTTTCAAAGAAATTATTGTAAATCAAACAAAGTATAACTCATTTATTTATGCATTGATGTAATTGTCTTTACATTTTTAGTTTGTAAGTTTAGCAAAATTATAGATAATAGTATTTCAGGAGGATAAAAAAAACCTGTAAAATACTTAAACTAAGGTGTGCACCTGTGGAAATTACAGGTAGATGAAATGAACCTGCTTTAATCTGTCAGGTTGGATCAACTCATCCAGACTGTTTAATTGTTCTTCATCTACAAAACAAAGAAAAAGAGTGTGAACTAAAGATCAAAACCACCGCTGCCGCATCGCTACAGTCAAACAGTAATGTAACTGCAGGTGACTTTTCCTTTGAAAACAAATACGCAAATATATACGGTATCTACTGAAACAAAGTATTGAGTCCCACCGCACATGGTGACGTATTTTATTTTACTGTTAGGTTGTGTGATGGAGTGGGATGGAGTGAGTTGTTGGCCAGCTGCCTCTGAAGGAGAGGTCGTTTCCGTCCACTGTCCTCTGCTGCTGCTGAAGCCTGAAACTCCTCCAGGTACACATCATGACATCACACACGCCAAAAAACTCCCTAAAGTGTAGTTTCTTGGGAAACAATATAAGATCACCTTTCAAGAAGGTGACATTTATGACAAAGTAAGTGGACCAATTGTGTCTTAATTCCTCCAGGGCAATCTCCAAAAGGAATCTTGTAACCAGCCACCAACAAGTTTAACATTTAATTTCTTTTCACATTTTCTGTATCAATGTTGCTATAATAAATATAGCAACGGATCAAATGACTGCATGTAGTGAGTCAAAGGTGAAGAATCCACAGAGCGTTGTACATTGCACCATTTTTAAAACTCATTGTTTTGGTTTTACCAGCTGCAGTTTTAATTTGTTGGTTCAGTCTCACCTCTCTCATCCACGTCATTTCCCAACACAGACAGCAGCTGCAGAAGACCATGTGAGGCTACACCTCATAAATTAATTGAATTACAGAGGATTTAAATGTCTTGTCCTACTTGTAAACCTTTAAATTTACATCTGCGATTGTCTTAAATGCTGTGACATATTAAAGTTATGATCATTAGCACCTGTTCGTTATAGTCGTTTAATCATACGCCTGATGATATGCCTATAAAATCTCTGACTACAGGTGCATCTAAACAAAATTTAAATATCATGGAAAAGTTCATTGTGAGCACCAGAACCAGACAGAGAGATCACAGTCTCAGGAAACCTTTACAGGTGTTTTGAGTTAATTAGCTGATTAGAGCTCCTCTGAAGTCGACATTCCTGCATTGTAAAGACTTTATTCTAAAATTCTAATACATAATTGACTTTTCATTTCCTTTATATACACATTTTTAGTTAAATGTAATTTATAAATTAAAATGTTTGTCACTGTTATCTCCCTACGCAATGTTCTATATTATTTATAATGTCTTTTTTATTTTTTTACCTGACAACAGTAGCCTAAAAATACTGTATTTGTATCTAAAAAACATTTAAAAAGCTCACCAAGTGTAATTCATGTTATAAACAACACTGTGGACACTGAGAACATGAAAGAAAAACGATCCTGCATTTACTAAATTGTTCTGGGAACCATTTCGCAGCTTCGAACACATTCATCTTTCTTGATATCCTGAAACATTTTCTTCACAGTTCTCATCACACGGAGCTGTACAGTCCGAGGATGGAGTCAGCCCAGCCTGCCATATTACAAAGCCTGTTACTATGAAGCTTATGAGGAAGATGAAGACAAGGAGGAAGAGGTACACTAGATATGTAACGATGAATTCTTAGCTCTGAGTTCTGTATGCATGCAGTAGTAGTGCAGTTGATCCCATTTCACCAAAATGATGAATTTAAATTATTTCTGTCAGCAGGGAAACAAAGATTTGGGTCTTTATGGCTCTTCTGTTTAATGTCTAGCTCCAGAAAAGTTACTTTGACACCCTGAAGTTGATCTACAGCGTCGGATACGGAGTTTCCCTGGCTGCTCTGCTCATCGCTCTTCTGGTTTTCTGTTGCTTCAGGTGGGTTTATTATTTTTAACCCACACAGCTCTTCATTAGAGAATGAACACCGTGATAAAATAGTTAAGGTTTTATACTGAAATGTTTTTCACAATATTCCTCTGTCTCTCAGGAAGCTGCTCTGCACGCGCAACTACATCCACCTCAACCTGTTCGTGACCTTCATACTCAGAAGTCTCGCTGTGTTCATTAAAGATTCAGTGTTGTTCGCAGGCAAAAGCACGGACCACTGCACAGTGTCCACAGTAAGGCCGGAGCCAGCTGAGTCAGCGTGGGGCTGAAATGTTAGATACAAATTGGGCCTGCAACAAACAGTTATTTTCATATTTTTTCATTTATCAATTAATTTGTTCCTTCTTTGACACAATGTCAATCTGAGAAAAGTCCCAAACACAAAGTTTACAATCAGACAAATTTGTGAGGCTGGAACCTGAGAAATTGTCACATATTTTCACTGTTTTTGCTTGATAATTGACTAAAACGATGAATCCATTATTGATTAACTCACTAATTGTTTTATCTCTAAAACAATATAAATCATTGTTTATAACTGCAATGTACTGAAAACTGACTTATCAACAAAAAATTAATCTAACTTTAATGCAAAACTAATTTAAGCACAACAGGAAATACTGCAAGCCTAACATTTTTTGAAAATGTATATACTTTTTACATGGACAAGAGAAAGAAATGCCCAAAAACCTCCTTATTCTCACCCCCTAAAACATGCAGAACTGTGATATCTGTAATGTAAAAACATCCTTTGTGTCGTCTCAGCTCCAGTGCAAAGCAGCAGTGACGTTCTTCCACTTCTGTGTTTTGTCAAACTTCTCCTGGCTGCTGGTGGAGGGTCTGTACCTGCAGACTCTGCTGCTCTTCACCTTCACTCAGACCAGGAAGCTCTTTTGGATCTGCGCCACCGTCGGCTGGGGCACGTTGTGTATTTAGATGTATTTATGTCCATTCGCCTGTATTGGTCTTTATTTTGCTTGTCTAATCGTTGGGCTGATTTCGTAGGTATTTCATCAGTGACCATTGTGATCTGGGCTCTGTTGAAGAAACAGCTTGATGATGAGGGGTAAGTAAAGTGTGAACATGCAAATCTTTTTCACATTTAATGTTAATAGATGGTAATATTTCTGCATGTGCAGGTGTTGGGACAACCTGGAGAGCCGCTTGTGGTGGATAATCAAGATTCCTATTCTGCTGTCTATCTTTGTAAGCACATGTTCTGCCTTCAACTCTTCTTCTCATTTACCCAAACAAAATTCTTGGATCATATATGGACATTTCCCTGGACAAAATTTTAATTGTCTCCTGACAACAGCTTGTACACGAACACATCACCCAGACAAAGTTTGATTGTCCAGACTTGTAAATTGTGCCCTTTTGCCTGCTCTGGTTTTGGGAAATACGCTTATTTGCTTGAAATAGGAACTTAGCCTTGCTCTGTTCAAAGGTAACAAATACTTACACAAAGTAAATATAATGTGTTAAAGCCAAACAAGCTGTTTCCCCAGTTTCCAGTCTTTGTGCTAAGCTAAGCTAACAGGGTGCTGGCTGTAGCTTCATATTTAACAGACAGACATGAGAGTGGTATCAGTCATCTGATTTAACTCTCTGCAAGAAAGCGAATCATTCCCCATAATGTTGAGCTACTCCTTTAAAGCATCACAGATGCAAAACATTAGTTTGATGTGTATGCTGATGAAATTATATCAAAACGGATTAAATGATTAATATTGTAAGGCCCTTGTTGCCATTTGGAGTTCCCAAATTGCAAAGCTGATTTTGCAAGTACAGTTATAGAATATCTAAAAAAAAAATTAAATATAGAAATATTTCGATATATTAAAGGATCAAACTGGCGGCATTATTGTCAACAAATCTCTTTATAATGTAATTTCTAACTTCCCTACTCTGGATCACTCAGCCATAAGCCCATTGGGTCCTACTGAGGACAGACTTTTAAAAAAAAGTCACAATTATACAGCCAGTCAATGAAGTTTTTAGCAAATGCTCCTGAAACAGGAGGAAGTAATGCATTTGTTGGGGACTATTTTCTGTCGTGGATTAATCCACATGTGGGGCTCTAGTGAGTGTTTGGGGCAGCTGGATGGTGTATGTGGGACTAGGTCAAAATAAACTACAGTGTGTGTGTTCATGGTGATGAAGAAACATATCACAGCAGTGACAACACAACAGTTATGTGTTCTTAAAAACAATGGAGCTAATGGAGAAGGACATAATCCAATAAAATGCACACCTGCAGCTGTTGTGGGATGACTAAATTATAAATACTGTCAGCACAAAATGAATTGGAGAAGCAGTTGTCAACCTTCATCAGGCATTACGTAGCAGCATCTCTGTTCTGTATCCACAGGCTGAAGAAAACAATCACAGACACACACAACACTCTTGAGATAATTCAATAATGCATCTAAATACATACATAAGCCAAAATGCAATGCATACACAAATAGACAGGTTAGTATCTGAATGTGATCCACAGATGAACCTTGTGATCTTCCTGAACATCAGTAGGATCATCGTTCAGAAGACAAAGGCTACACATGTGAACCAAAGTGAGACACAAGTCTACAGGTAAGACCTGGTCATTGACTCACCTTTCTATTCCCTATTCTCAGATCCACTCTCTCTCCCCTGTCCGGTCTTTGACCTGCCTCTCCTGCCGTCTGCTGCCCTCTGCAGGACACTCGTCCGCTCCACTCTGCTCCTCATCCCTCTGTTTGGCCTTCACTATGTCGTGTTTGCACTGATCCCAGAACACGTTGCCGTCGGGCCTCGACTCTACTTTGAATTAGTTTTAGGCTCCTTCCAGGTAACACATCTCTCATACCGCCCAATCGAATAAATATTTAAATGTCCCAGAAAAAGGCTGAAACTAACAATTATTTTCATTATCATTTCATCTTCAGATTCTTTTCTTGATTAATCAATTAATCACTTGGTCAAAAAAATGTTTGGAACATAGTAACATTTGCAGGTTATAATTTTGTGATGCTCATTTTAATGTCAAATATCACAAAAAAACCTGTAAATTGAGAGGCTGGAACCAGCAAATGTTTGCTTTAAAAATGACTAAAACGAATTATTTTCGGTTGCCTAACTTGGATTTTTCATGTTGTACCAGGGTTTTGTTGTTGCTCTGCTGTACTGCTTTCTAAATGAAGAGGTGAGCTGTGTTTGCACTTTAAAGTTCTTCATCATCAGTGTCAGGTTCGTCAAAATAAAAAAATTAATTATTTGTCTTTTAGGTCCAAAAAGAAATCCAGAGGAAGATGATAAGTTGGTGGCCGGAGACAAAAAATAATGCCATCAATCACCCAACACAAGAATGTGTCCCCTGAAGTCCAAATGAAGAAACCTATCACTGAGTCCTTCTTCACGTAGTTTGGTGCTTATCATTTGTCTTTAAATGACACAGACTAGTTTATCTTCTTGTGTGTGATGTAGAGTTTTCAAGTTATAACAGCTGCCGGTGGTGAAATGGCTTTAGGTTTGTCAGAATATCTGAATGATGCATGTTCATTAAGAAAAAGTGGTGTATCGCAACTTTACTGCTTTGTTTGTGTGTAAAACTTGTTTCACCTTCTTGTGTTTGGTTTAGGGACCTTGTACAGTTTGTGAACATTTACATTTACTCATTTAGCTGTCGGTTTTAATCAAAGCGACTTGAAATTGCTATGTCAGAGGTCGCACGCCTCTGGAGCAACTAGGGGTTAAGAGTCTTGCTCAGGGACACAATGGTGGACGTGTCGCAGAGAGAATCGAACCCTTGTCTCTCACAACAAAGGCATGTGCCACTGCACCATCACCACCCTGCACCCTGGAGCACACACTTATATATTGCACTGCTAAAAATTTGTGATTGTGATTTTACACATCAGGTTTTGATAAACAAACAAATTAAAATGAACAGGCTGATCAAACTGGCAACTCGTAATGTGACTAAGAAGTGGGTGATTGTATGCACTCCTGTGTCCACTGGGATCTCCTCCCAGACCTGGATCAGGGCATAAGTGAGCTCCTGGACCATCAGTGGCGCTACATGATGTCCCAGAGGTTCCGGCCAATTCTGGTGTTGCACGGTGCCGGGCTGTGAGCACAGATCCAACTAGAGGACGTCAGCCCTTGTGCCGCACTCATCGAGTTTGTTCTGTCAGTAGCCAAACCAGTAGCCTGCTGGAGGTCATTTTGTGGGGCTCTGGCAGTGCTCCTTCTGTTCCTCCTAGCAAAAAGGAGCAGATACCGACCCTGCTGTAGGGCTGATGCCCTTTACGACCCTGTCCAGCTGTAGTCCAGCAAACCTTCTTGCAACAGTACAATGACTAACTGTATAATCTGAATCGGCTGCAGGTACCGTGCCAACAGGTGATACTGATTCACCTATGCTTCCTAACTGGACGGATAGAAATCCCTGAAGTTTAATTAACTCGATGTCATACTGTGATGATTAAGTGTTCCTTTTTTTTTTTTAACAGTGTAATAAGAGATAAACAGACAGTGTTTCCTCAGAGTAAGAGCTGACAGTGGTGGTCGTTTAAAATACATTCATACAGCTGTATGTCATAGGATGGACAAGTTCAGGGAGTTGCATACATCCAGTCAGTGCCATATTGTCACATCATATACAGTATAAACACATGTCATATAAATTATTATAAAACACACAATGGATTCACTTTTCATCTGCAAGATAAATGAATTTCCTCTTTTAATCCATTTCAGTTGTGTTTTCTTTTCATTATTTTACCTTCATCCAACCACATTTAACATTTGGCATGTATAAACAGATAATTAATGTGTAATAAATTGTTTATAACACGTGAAAACATCATTGCAAACATAAATAATGACATTTTGAGTGTTTATTTTATCATCATAGCAATTAAAACTTATCTAATAAAGACATATTTCATTCGATTAAAACTGGTTTACATAAAATTTTTATCTGTTTATGCAGAAGCAGGAGGAGTTAAAGTTGTTTTTTGAGTTCAGTTAACACTTACAAAAACTTTAAATCAATTTAAAACTACATTTTGCATACATTCTGCTATAAACAATTAATTCTGCTCATGAATGCTAAATAAATTGCAATGTTTTTCAGCTCCCATAAAGGGAGTTTAATTTTCTGTTTCTTTTAAATCACATAAGCCGGTCTGGTTCATCGGTGCCAACTGTTCCCAGATGCAGAAGGTCTATATATTTATATAGTTTTATTGTTATTCGAAGTAAATCAAATTACAGATACTTGGTCCTTGCATCAGTTCAGATCTGAGCTCTGACTTGTGCAGAGAAAATGTCCCTGTGTACACAGACGGCCCATCAGAGACCTCAGGGGCCCCCAGGTACAAAGAAACACAGAGTAGACATGAATGAATCGGTGGAGGAGCTTCGAAGTTACCCTCCGATGAAATGAACGAACGGCCGTCTGATTTTAAGGCAACTAGTTTGATCCTCAGAGGGATCGGATTTTGATAAGCCCAGTTTCTGACAAAGTAGGAACTGTCAGTGAGGCAGAAGTTGTTTTTTTTTTAAAAGTCTCAAAGAAAAAAAGGAATCCCACCTCCCCTTTCCCACCTCTGAATGGTCTCACCCACCGGTTCACATGGCACCCACCCCCCTTCCATGTGTGTGTGTGTGTGTGTGCATGAGTGTATGTTGTCTTTGCCTTATATAGTGCAGAGTTATCCGGCTGCACTGCTTTGGGACTGTGAGCTTAGACTGCAGCCAAAGTCTGCCACACAATCTGTCCGTCTTTGTTCTCCTGTTTTGACAGGATATACAAGGACGCTTCTTGTGCTAGAACAGCTCCTCTGCTCCACAGCCATCACTTCTGCCGTCGCTCTCTCCGGTTTACAGTGTGCCAGGCAGCTCTGAAAGAGACAAAATGAATGGTTCAATGGATGGGATCTTCGACCACGCTCCCCATGATGGGTCTTTCATGTTTACCTCTGAGTCTGTGGGAGAGGGACACCCTGGTGAGTGGAGGACTCCCTCTACATGCAGCATTTCCCTACAGATTGTGAATGAGGAGTAGTGGTTATCATGCGTTAAACGCGTTCATGTTTCAGCGATCATTGATGACTTCGAGGAATGTGCAGACTCCTGAGTGGAGCATGGAGGCACTGTAGCAAAAAAAGCAGTTTGACGAGTCACACAGCACTGATTTATGCTGTAATTTGTGTTCAGAAGTATTTAGAGCATGAATCCTTGACTTGCCTTTAGTGCATTGTCAAAGACTAAACTTGCACTGTAGCTGCATGCTTACTATAGGATTTCAATCCAAGCACAAGAAAGTTGCAATTACACTATAAATTATTTTGAGTTCAACTTAGAAACACAAGCTCTTTTGCAGCTTAAATATGTGAGTTAACTGAATTTAGATTGAATAATTAGTTCAATGTCGTCTCAGGAGTTTAGTTCAGTGAACTTGAGAAAATAACCTCAATAAACGTTCATATTAAACAACAAGTGTTCGGCCACATTTCAAAGGTTACAGACAGATTTGCTTCCTTTTACATTTTCTCAGTTTGAAGAATCAGTTGTTTATTTGACTTGAATAACTCACAGCTGATCCTGTTAGAGCCACTTTCTCACCAGAGTTGCAAAAGTTCTGGCCAAAAATGAATGAACAATTCTATGATAATAATGCTGATACCACAAGTCTCACTGCACTTTGTTGCACTGTATGATGTGCAGGTGCACTACTAAAAATTATTTCTCTTATCAATTAATCTGCAAATTTTTGATCAGTCAGATAATCAAACAATTTTACTTCACCTTCCTAGAGTCCAAAGTGACCGATCAACAGTCCAAAACCCAAAGAAAAGTAGAAAGTCCTCAGATTTGAGAAGCTGGAACCTGAGAAATTGTTTCACTGTTTTTGTTACATACACAACTGATACATAACAGAAACGATCAAGCGATTATCAAAAGAGTTGATGATTGTTTCTCCGATGATTAATCATTTCAGCTCTTCTGATACATATAATAATAATCACACTGTTGCACACTACACAGGTTATAAGATTTCCCCACAGTTAAGGATGTTGTACACCTGCCTCATCAGTGGTGATCATTTACTCAAGTAGACATAACAACACCACATAGGGAAAAAATTATCTTTTGAAAAAGTACTGAAAGTTTAACAGCAAAATGCAGATTTTCTGGCTAGTTAAATATGCAAAAGCCCTGATCTTATGAAGATGTTTCGATGCATAATTTAGTCCTAAAAATGTCAAATGAAAACAACAAATGTGTCAACTTGTAAAAATGTGTCTGTAGCTTGAAACAAGTAACAACAAAGCAGGTTGCTGCACCAGAATGCACTGAAAATATGTTGTAATGTTCTTTCTATTGGTTTAAGGACTGACTAATCATATGTTTTGTGTAAAAAAATCTTCAAACTGAGTAACTTTAATTCTCAGATGTAGCCTATGTAGTGCAATAAAAAGTACAGGGTTCCTGTGTGAATTGTGGAAGTACAATTAAAAATAAGGACATTTGAATGTGTTTCAGTATAGTAGTTGATAACAGTGTGGCGGTGCTTTGATGATCTGATGGCGTTACAGTGTACCATGTCACACTGTCATGCATTCACCAAGCTGAGGCTAAATATAGGCCAGAAGCTCTTAACAGGAATGATGTGTAGAACCAGCCTCGATGGAGCGGTGAAATCTGATATTTTCAGGCTCTGCCCAGATGAGGAATGTGACATGCAGCAGAAGGTCACATGAGGAAACAACCCGGCGCACATGGTGATCCTGATATTTAAATCCTTTTCTTGTTTTCCAGATAAGATATGTGACCAGATCAGTGATGCAGTGCTGGATGCTCACCTGAAGCAGGACCCAGACGCCAAAGTGGCTTGTGGTGAGCAGTAACGTGTTTCTCTCCAGCAGAGGGAAGTAGCGCACAAATATGAGGAGAAACAGTATGTGGTCAACTTTTCCAACAGATTTTGCACAAGGGGGGAAAAAAGCGACATGAAAGAAAAGCTGACAACTTAAATTATTCTGTCAAAACAAGGAGGAAGCTTTACCTGAAGCCTTAATATTAGATCTTCAGGATGCTGCCAGTCAGGAGCAAATGTGGCGAGCTCTCACAACTTCTCTGCTTCCACCCCGAAGAAGACAGATCTCGAAACATTTGTGTGTGTAAACTTGTTGTTAATTTAATAAAATGTCACGATTGCCGAGTGCAAATGCAGGAAAAGAACAGGAATTTGGACCCAGATGCAGACGCTGAACAAGGCAGGATCAGTTTTTCTAATTTATTAATGAAAAACACAAAATTTACAAACTTGAGAGGGTTGCAGTCAAAGTCCAAGATGTCCAAGAAACAGTCCCAAACCAAAGTAAAAGAATCCAATAAGCAACAGGCAAAAAACTCTGTGGTCCACAGACAAAAGAAAAGCAATCATCCAGGCCGAACAGGCAGGTGAGAAACAAAATCCACAGACACAAACATACAGGTGAGGATGACAAACACGAGGCTTGTGCGACAATGATCCCACAAAAACAAGAAGGAAACACAGACTATATGTATACTGACACACACCCAAGCAGGGTGAGCTGAGACACAGGTGATTATCAACAGGGAGGACACAGACAGGAAATAAAGTGGAACAAAACACAAGAGGCAGACACTTTCAAAACAAAAATTCAAACCAAACCTTGACATGAAAAGAAATAAGGAAACGGTAAAAGTGAATTCACATTTTACCTGGTATTAAAATTATTTGCAAGCACTGTTTGAGCGTAATCTGATTAGCAGGCCTCCCCTGATTTATTGCGGGTGTTGGAGAGTACTACTGCATATGCAAAAAAAGGACTGTAGTATAAAGTCTTTAGTGTCTCCAGAGGGAGCTGTCTGAAGTCTGATAAGCGTCCTCAAGTGAGGTCCCTTGAGTCAGTGTCAGTTTGGGCCGAAGACTACAAGTCTGAAAAGGAAAACAGGCTCCAGGCTACATTAGCAGCTACTAGTTTAACACACCTACTGACTGGCAACAGTTGAGTTGCATTGTGGGTAATGTAGGCACCAGGTTTTGACAAGGAATAAAAAAACAATATCTTTGATTCTGCTGCATGGATTTTCATAATTTCTTTAAAAAACTGAACATTGTGAGTACGACTGTGTTATAGGAGAGCAGTGCTAAATTGATGGATGGAAACTTGCACACTTTATGGTACCAAGTTGTCAAACATGCAGCGTCACGTCCTCTTCTGTGTGTTAAAACAGAGACGGTGTGTAAGACTGGCATGGTGCTGCTTTGCGGTGAGATCACGTCCCGAGCCAACGTGGACTACCAGAAGGTGGTGAGAGAAACCATCCGAGATATCGGATACGACAACTCAGACAAAGGTGAGTGGTAACAGATGTTTAACTTTTGAGTTTACACATCACACCTGTTCCTTCAGCAGTTCTTTAGAATTTATGGGTACGTATTGTCAAGGGTAGGCTGAGTGCAGTCATATGTGTGGACCCAAACGCAGACTACAGGCGAGGAGGTGCAGGTCAAAATATTTAAGAACACAAAAACTAAACTGAAACAAGCTTACATGGATGTACAAAGCAAATACCAAAACTGAGGAAATTCCAACAAGCAAAAACAAGCCAGAGCATAGGCAGCGTAGTCCAAGGACAACGGCAGGACAGAACACTCAACATTGACAAGGACATCACAAACAATGAACAGAACTGAAGGCTTAAATACACAAGCAGACGAGCAGGGAGGGAAGCACAGCTGAAACACATCACGCAATCAAACAACAGGAAACAAAGCTAGACAAGGACACATGAGAAGTGAACAATACAAAATAAAACAGGAAGTAAAGCACACGGGAACAGACAAGGACAGAGTTACCAAAGTGAAACAGAAAACAGGGAACTGGGCTGGACTGGGATTTGGTGTCTGTGTATATAAACAACCTTTCTTTAATATTTAATGAGTCAGTTCTGCATGTTCCCTGGCCCCTACTCATTGTCTCTTTCTCTGTACGTCCAGGCTTTGATTATAAGACCTGTAACGTGCTGGTGGCCCTCGAGCAGCAGTCCCCTGATATTGCACAGGGAGTTCATGTTGATCGCCTGGAGAGTGACATTGGAGCTGGAGACCAGGTTATCTGGAAAAACACAACAACACAAATACTGTTTTATTCATTTTAGCTAACCATCCCATTTGGACTTTGGGGAACTTGAGACTCAAAATCATGCTTCAAAGACAACTTAAACATCACTTGAGACAACTGTGTCTCATCACTTTCGTAACAGCTATATTACAGAGTCCAACCATTTCTTTGTAAACACTAAGCGACGGTAACATGAGGTTACAGACATTAACAACAACATAACCTTTTTACTTCTCGTTCTGTGAGGACAGGGTCTCATGTTTGGATATGCCACAGATGAGACAGAAGAATTAATGCCGCTCACTGTCGTCCTCGCCCACAAACTCAACGCTAAGATGGCCGAACTGAGACGCAATGGGACCGTCCCCTGGCTTCGCCCGGACTCCAAGACCCAGGTGCAACCCACACACACTACTGCAGTATAACTGTTGATCTAGTAAGACACCGAAAACTAATGTTGCAGTGGTGAAACATTTGTCAGACATGAACATAACTTCTTAAATTGCAAACAAATAACTTTTTCTCCTGTCCTTGTCTTCCTTTTTCAAATCTTCTTATAATCAACCAACCAGCAATAAAATTGACTTAATCGTCAATCTGATCTAAATCACATCAGATGTCTTTTCTCCACAGAGAGCCCTTAACGGCTGCCTGCCTGCCTAGCTGATGTACCTGAATGTAACTGTGCTTCATGTAAAACTCACTGTTTTTCATGAGACAATATGCTCGTAATCTTTCCTTCAATCAGGAATAATTTGGACTGAGCATCATTAAAATACACTGTAGCCAGGGGAGACTGAATCATGTCTGTAAAGATGTCACTAATTCAGAGGTGCCCAGTTGAAGATCTTTCTGGCATATTTACAAATCTGTTCTAAAGTCGAATAATCTCACATTAATGTTTGATGTTTGGAGGTTTCCATCCCATATATTCTGGAGTAAACTTGTGAACTTCCAAAAATAATCTAATTGCTGTTCACGTAATCCCCAAATGCCAGATGTATACTCTGGACAGGACGCACACCAGACTTACACAGGTGTTTATATACTTTGCTCTGTACTGATCCAATCACTCTGCCTTTTACATGACCTCAACCACTTACACCCTCCTTAAAGGTCAGACGCTCACCTAAAATAAAAAGCTAAGTATTTATATACACACGAAATGCCGCATTTACACATTGATGGAAACATCTTTAAATCCAGAGATATTTTAGTTTGTGTGGAACTCAAGTGTTGCTCGGTAGGCTAGTAGTAGATGGAGCGGTGACCGTGACCTGCAGAATGTGCTTACCAGCAGACACCAACCAGAGCACGCTGGTATGCAACATCTGAGCTGGGAGAAGCCTCTGCAATGCCACAGAAGTATCCTGTTGGTGCTTGAGCTCACTGCACACGTGAGACTCCCAACACTCAGGGATTTTTTAATTTTGCAAAAGCCGGAACTGGAAACATTAAGAGGATATTTTGAGCTTCTTGTGTTACGGCTTATAGTTGAAAATGTATACCATTACATGCCTCAACACAGGAAATATGTATGTATAATGCAACATCACATCTCTAGTTAATATGCTGACTCCTCTCCACCACCTACTTTCCGCTCCCATCCAGGTGACGGTTCATTACACCCAAGAGAACGGAGCCGTGATCCCCAAGAGGGTTCACACTGTGGTGATCTCAGTGCAGCACGATGACTACGTGAGCCTGGAGGAGCAGAAGAAGGTCCTGAAGGAGAAGGTGATCAAGTCTGTGGTCCCATCAAGGTACCTGGACGAGAACACCGTCTATCACTTGCAGCCCAGCGGACGGTTTGTGATCGGTGGACCACAGGTAAAGGGCTTAAGGTAGTGGTGAACGTCCCTTAACCACAGGATGAAGAGGTCTACAACTTCAGTATCTTAATGTTGTTATTTAAATCCTCTTTGTAGTGTGTTATGTTATGCTGACTCTGACCGAGGCCACAAACCTGTCTCACAAAAATGTTGTTGTTTAAAATTCAAGTGTTACTGTTTCTCTTGTCCATGTATCTTGGAAGTATGTAGGTGAAGTTGTGTCAGAAATTCCTACTACTATTTTATAGTTTGCACAAGATGTGAAGATGCATAATTTAGATTTTGTGCTCTAAACCATATTATTGCTGAAACAATTAATCAATTAAAAGATTAACTTTTATTCTTTTCAGCAGCTCAAATCCAAGTGAATATCTTTGGATTTTGGACAGTTTTGAAGTCATATTGAAATTATGATGAGCATATTTCACTATTTTCTTAAATTTATGGACTAAATTAACAATCTATAAACTGCAAAAAAAAACCTCAATAATGAGAAAAGTATTAATTGCATTGTGTCTAAACATTTCCATTCCCATGTAATTGTTTTACATGAAAAGTGCAGCACATTCTTACTTCTAGAGCATGATTAAACAAGATGAAACAGAAGCAATTGCGTTAAGGCAGCTGCACCATTTATATAACCTTTATTTAATTAGTACATCTTAAAAAACAGTAAAATTAAACATCCATTGCATAAACATTTGAAAAAATAGTTTGTGTGCAGTGGAAATGTAAATCTTTGTGTGATTCTCTGTCAGGGCGATGCTGGAGTCACGGGCAGGAAGATCATTGTCGACACATATGGGGGTTGGGGGGCCCATGGGGGCGGGGCTTTCTCTGGGAAGGACTACACCAAGGTGGACCGTTCAGCTGCCTACGCCGCCCGCTGGGTGGCAAAGTCTCTGGTGAAGGCCAAACTGTGCAGAAGGGTGCTGGTGCAGGTGGGATCACTCGTCAACAAATCCTTCCAGAATATACAAGACATCTGTGATGTTCGGCATGGATCTTATCCTGAAGCTTGGAGGAAAAACTGTTTAACCTGACAGCTAAAACACAGACCATGTTATAATTTGGCTCAGCTGTGTCATTTCAGAATTTGTGTTTAATGCATTTAGCATTTTATTCTTCCTTGAGAATATTGAGCACCATTTGCTACACCCATTTGTGACATGTGTGCCAAGTTTCACAACTTTTTGATCATCACGAGCACCCCAGAAATACATTATATTATGAAAATAAGAAACGGACAAAGAAGTTTTCACGATCACAGGAAGCTATTTTAATGATGATTCATTTTAACAACTTGGCTGACACTAAGCAGTATCAAATGCAGCATTTATTTATTTAGACAATAGTTTGTCTCCAATGCTGGTTTGTGTTTGTCCCTTTCCTGTTTCAACATGACAGTCCCCCTGTCCACAAAGACAGCTCCATAAAGAAATGTTTTCCCAGTTTTGTGTGGAAGCAGAGTCTTGACCTCAGCTGGAACGTTGACTGTGAGCCAGATCTGATCTCCCAACATCACTGATTCTCTTGTGTCTGTATGGGAGCAAATCCCTGCAGCCAGGTTCCAAAATGCTCCGGTGTCCACATACATTTGACCATGTAGTGTATCTTGTGCAAGGAGTTCAATGCATCCACAAAACCAAACTCTTAACCCTGAGCACAGGCTTAAATACTGATTACTGTAATAAATGAAACTCTGTGTCTTACAAATGGGTGGTGATGGCAAGTCACAAGCCTTTGGTGTGAGAGACCTGGGTTAAAATCCCCACTGTGTCCCTGAGCTAGACACTTAACCCCAAGTTGCCCCAGAGGCCTGCAACCTCTGACATAAATAGCCATCAAAAAAAGTCATCAGAGATTTACTGCGTCTCTTGTCTGTATTTTCAGGTGGCGTATGCGATCGGAGTAGCCCACCCTCTGTCCATCTCTCTGTTCACCTACGGCTCCTCTCAGAAGAGCGAGAAGGAGCTTCTGCAGATTGTCAATAAAAACTTTGATCTCAGACCCGGCGTCATCGTCAGGTCAGGATTTAACTAATGACAGTGCATCAGCTTTGTTGTTATATTCAGTATGACTGTTGTGGGACGTACAAGGACATGTTTAATCTGTAAGAATTCATGTCTTTATTGCTCGATTGTGCTTCAGAGACCTGGAGCTGAAGAGACCAATCTACCAGAAGACGGCCTGCTACGGACACTTTGGCAGGAAGGAGTTTCCCTGGGAGGTCCCAAAGAACCTCAACTTCTAGAGTATCCGTGTATCTGTGTGTGTGTGTGTATCTCTGTGTGTGTGTGTGTGTGTGTGCGGGCAGAGTGTCAGTGATGTATAGATAGCTGCCCTCGTGCTCCTGTAACCCAGTAAGAGAAAGGCAGCTGCGAGGGTGTGCAGGATTGGGTAAGGGTGGGTGCA